ATCAAGAAAGATAACCAAGACATCCTTTTGGTTCAAGTTTACGTAGATGATATCATATTCGGTGCTACTAACGAGGTTTTGTGCAGGGATTTTTCCGATATGATGCAAAGTGAATTTGAAATGTCGATGATGGGAGAATTAAAGTTCTTCCTTGGGCTGCAAATTAGACAATGCAAAGAAGGAACATTCGTGTGTCAAACGAAATATTGTAGGGAATTGCTTAAAAGATTCGATGTTACCGAATCCAAATCCATTGACACACCAATGAGCACCTCTTGCTATCTCGACAATGACGAAAAAGGTAAAGAGGTAGACATCAAGCGCTACCGAGGTATGATCGGCTCTTTAATTTATCTTACCGCGAGTAGACCGGATATCATGTACTCCGTTTGTATATGCGCTAGGTATCAATCATGTCCTAAAGAGTCGCACTTGGTTGCGATCAAAAGGATAATGCGATATCTCGCGGGCACGTTGAACGTAGGTCTTTGGTATCCCAAAGGTTCAACATGTCATCTTGTTGGCTATTCCGACTCGGATTTTGCAGGTTGCAAACTCGAGAGGAAAAGTACCAGCGGTACTTGCCACTTATTCGGTCATTCATTAATCTCGTGGTTTAGTAAGAAGCAGGTTAGTGTTGCACTTTCCACCACCGAAGCGGAATATGTCGCTGCAGGAAGTTGTTGTGCCCAAATTCTTTGGCTAAAACAGCAACTAGTGGATTTCGACCTTATGCTTGATCACATCCCAATTAGATGTGACAATATGAGTGCTATCAGTCTAACGAAGAACCCCGTTCTTCACTCGCGGACTAAACACATAGAAATTAGGCATCACTTCATACGAGATCATGTCCAAAAGGGAGATGTCACAATTGAGTTTGTTGAAACGAAACATCAATTGGCGGACATTTTCACGAAACCCCTTAGTAGGGAGAGTTTCTTCCACATTCGTAACGAACTTGGAATTTTGGATATCTCAATGAACTAATCCATTCTTTTTATTGACTATACTAATTTGAGCGTCGGAGGCGCGATAAATTCTTTTTTGCAGGTATCTCTTCCCTTGGTATTCAACCGAATTGGACTTGATGATTTTTTTTCTGTCAAACAAGTTTTAATCGATTACTCTTTGAAGAGAAATCGATTAGTCGCCTCTGTCCCTCTTAATCGATTACTGGACTTTTGTTAATCGATTAAAATCCGAAAACTTCTTTAGCACTGATTCACTTTTAAATCGATTAATTTTGTTCAATTAATCGATTAGACTCATCTGTCCATCGTAATCGATTAACCATCTCTGTTTAATCGATTAATAGCTTGAAATGCAAACGTTTGGTTCTGCTCCACTTCTTATCGATTAATAAGCTTAATTTAATCAATTAGCCTTGGCTGTGTTCCCTAATCGATTAAATACTTGTTTTTAATCGATTAATAGTCGATTTTTGCCCTTATATCACACCCAGTCTTTGTCTTCTTCGCCATTCCCCTTTTACGAATCAGAGAAACCCTAGCTCCTTCCCTTCTCAAATTTTCTCAATCTTCATCAGAAACTTCTCAAATTTCTTCCATTTTTTTTACCAAATTTCTTCAATTTCAAAAAGGAAGAATGCCAAGATGCAAGAACGCTTCCTCAGGTCAAGAAACGGCGGCAGAGGAGAGTGAGAGGCCATGGCGTCGTGAAGGGAGCAAGTACATTCACATACAAACCGGTCTCGCCTTCAACACTGGGGCTTCAGTCGAGAGGTTCCACAACACCTTCCTCACGAAGGAGATTGTCTCTCCTAAGATCGTAAACAAGGACCTCTTCAAATCGGCGACCTATGCCCCGAGTAAGTCTCTGTTCCTTCAGCAAGGTTTGCTTCGTTTCATCCATTTGACGTATGAATTCTTCTGTCCAAATCTTATACGTCAATTTTATGCAAATCTTCGTACCACTAAGGGAGGCTCGCCATCTCTCATTTCCTATGTTGACGGCAAAACCGTTTTCATTGACGGTGCCGGTTTGACTTCTCTGTTTGGCCTTCTTCGCGGTGAAATTACCAAAAACTTGGATGAAACATTCCAAGATGAGGCAATTTGGTGACAACTCGGGTTAGATCATCGTGACCTCAAGTTTAGAAATTCTAGCAACCCGAGTGTCATTAATCTCACTTTAATTCAACGTGTCCAACAATACATCTTCTCCTATGTTTTGTTGCCCCGTGATTCGAACCATGGCGTTGTCAACAAGGACGATATTCGTTTGTTTCACGTCCTGTTGAACGATGTCAAATTTGATTGGGTTCACTTCTTTATTGTTGCACTTAGCGATGGCACTCGTTTTTCCCATCTCCGTTTTGCCATCCCCATTATGCATATCCTTGCTCATTGCAAAATAGACTTTACTCGGGACACTCAGGTGCCGGTCAAGAAGACTTGTTTCATCTCTGAAGCCAAGTTTTCCTAGATCGTGTATCGAGAGAAGGGCGATGCTGCACCAAATCTGGACCTGATAGTCGCAGAAGAAGAAGTAGAGAGCCAAAACGATACTCAAGCTGAGTCATCTCGAGCCGGAGGAAGTCGAGCCACGGAGCGCGTCACTCGTCAACGGAGGACTTGTAACACCCCAACCCGCATAACCCAAACCCGTGAGACAGCGGACCGGTGTGCCACTGGATTGGTATCCGAATATACAACATTTTCAAAACGATTTTAAACAAACGTTCTATCAATACATATAAAAATCCATCGGAGTAATTTAAAATAATGCGGAAGCCTTTTTAAAGTCAAACAACTTGGGATCTTGCCCGAAAACGTAATAAGCATTAAAGTTAAAAAAATAAAGCATAATCAACAGATTAAAGAGACAGCCACACCATCGTACATCTCCTCCTCAATGCCCTCTGGGATCGGCTCTAGGTTCATCTGTCTGATCACCTACGGAGAGCAAAAAGGAAAACAACGCTATCCGCTCAGCATTGACGCTGAGTGGCACTCCATTGTAGCACAAAAATAAACATAATAATTCAATGATTAGATCGTGCATATGATTATCCTTTTGATAAAAATCAATTCAACTTTAAATTCGGTTCTTTAGACGGTTGACCAACAGTCAACTTATTTTCTTTCTTTTCAAAACGATTTAGGTGTTAAGGATTCCTCATTAACTCTTTGACCACCGGTCAAACCAATTTAGACTTTCACGAAAGTCAAACCACTTAACATTTAATGCCTATGACGGAGATAGCCTCAATCCGTAATACCGAAGATAGCCTCAATTCGGTGGAGGTAGGATCCCTCGGGCGATAGCCTCAAACCCAAGATCACAGACCCTCGTGCGCACGTCTTAACCTCACTGACCAGGC